TTGTCATTCATTCTTGATTGAATTTTTGTCACAAATAATCCAGAAGCAGAAAAAGCTCGCTCAGACTCAATACTTGTTGGAGGGATAGCCTTCAGTAAATTAGACTAGCAATTCTCTTTCCAGTAGCTTAATAGACCAACATTTTTTTTGAAATGGCTTTGAATTCGTCGTTTGCATTGTGGCACTGTTTTTTGGCCGAATCCTGAATTTCTTCATCGAGTTCATCGTTAAGTGAAAGTGGGTTTTCATCGAGATTTTCTGAGCCATATACTTCTTGAATGAATTCTAAGTTGTCTGGATTCGTTGAAAATAGTCTAGATAACAATTCTTTGGCAGTCTTTTGAAGTTGAGACTTTGAAGGCATATTCAAAACTCTATATTCTTCAATGTCGGATAAACATTCTGGATTGGAAAGGTATCTGTATAAGCTTACAAGATGGCTCCGCCTTCTCTCTTCAAAACGTCTCAAAATTGCACTCTTCGTTGCAATGCAAAGAGTTAAATCTCGTTGTTTCAGTCTGTTTACTAGAAACTTGAAAATTCTCACAGCAGTAAGAGTTGCATCCTGTTGGCAAAGGGCTTCTGCTGCCAATTTGACTGGTTCAAGAGCAGCAACAATGTCGTATAAAATATTTACTTAATCATCACTGCAAATTAAATATCAGGCTTGGTCGGGAAGCGGGTGCGATCGCACTCGATAATTGACCACGGAAATAATATTTAGTTGCGAAAAACCGGCCAGATTTTTTAGTCGTTTTGAGAACATTTCAAAAACAAACAAAAAAGCACACTGACTGATGAGAAGAGACAGTTAAAAAAAGAAAAATAGCTTTTAATGCGAAAAAACTTTAAGCAAATAAATTTATTAGACCAATTGTTTTTGAAACGTCGCTCTTTTATAATTTTTTTTATAAAATCAAGCGGCATTTTTTATATAAAATAACAACTATAAAGAAACAAATGCTCTTTGATTTATCAAAGAGTATATATAATTTTTATTTATATACTTATGTCTTATTTCCTGTTGCGGATTAAGGAGGTGGGGCGGAATTAGTAGGGCTATAGCCCCGGGACTCACAATATTAGGGTAAATAGTCAAGTGGACCATTCAGTATTTTTTTTAGTCATTTTAAAGCTGTGGCACATAAAAAAGGCCGCCAAAATAATGTAGCCCCCGGCCCTGAAAATTCCAACAAGATTCAACCAATAAACTAACGCTAGATGATTTATTTATAAATAAAAAAGTTTTTTCAATAACTGTGTTATGCTTCGCATAGTTTAAAAAGTTGAACACATTTGAAACAATTCTTCTTAGTAAGATGAAATAACTAAATCATTGAGTCACTGTAGAAATTCAATTAGCTACATAGAAATTAATTAAAAACGTTAAATTACTTTGTGAGGAGGAAGCAGAACTGCTTCACAATAACGCTGATGATGTTTAGTGAGTGGGCTTTATAATTTTAATAAGTATTAAAAACAGAAAAAAAGTAACTCTAAGTATAACCAGTTTGTTTCAAACTTAAAAACTTTCCTTTCTTGGGGGAAAGAATCAGTTATTGGGTACACTGAGGGAAATGGATTAGTGGTTAAAATTATTTGTATTAACTTTGACGATTATTAATAATTTCATTGAAAATGCAGTTATTATTGAAAGTATTTTGTTTAAAAAAATCAATCGCACAAATTGCTTTAAAAGATTACATTTGAATAAAAGACACATACATAAAATTACATAGATAAAAATACATTATATACATAAAAATATATTACATACATAAAAATACATTACATACATAAAAAATACATCCCTTATATATAAAAAATAATATATTTGCAAAACGTTGACAAGTTAAAAAATATAAATTTAACACATTTATTATTGTAAACAAATAATGTTAGTTTAAAGCATTTATAGCTTTGTAGATGCAGCTCTAAGAATTAAAATAATAGTTAGTTTGATAGTATATTCTCAAAATAATTTTTGCTAGAAATCTCACGAATAAGTAACAAAATTCAAATAATACAATTTTTTAAAATAACTTAACAGCATACTCAGGACATTCGGTTAGTATTTTTTGAATACTCTAGAAATTTTGGTTAGTATTTTTTGAACCAATAGAATTAGTTGTTCGTAGATTTGGCGGGATTTTTGTGTTAGCGAATATTTTTTTTTATTTTTCCGCACTAAAAAGTTTGAGAACATTCAAGTTTAAGTTTCCATACAAGTCCGTAAAACAAAATATTTTAAAATTACGATAAACTGAACTTATTATTTTGCAGACAAACAAGGAAACATACATTAACTTAAATGTTCAAAAAACGGCTAAAAAATTTGGCCGGTTTTTCACAACTAAATATTATTTCCGTGGTCAGTTATCGAGTGCGATCGCACCCGCTTCCCAACCAAGCCTGAATATGAAGAAATGTCTTTCAATACTTTTTGGAGTGAATCTTTAACTTTGACGAACTGTTGAATCATTGACAGTAGACTGTTCTGCAGTCAAGGATAAGTGAAACCTCTTTTCCGTGCTGTTTCTTGACTTCTTCTTGGAGGACGTCATTTTTGACTGGAGATTTTTGAAACAACTTGACAATTTTTTGGACTTTTGTGATGACAGATTGCAAGTGCACTTTTGGCATGGGAAAGTTTTCATGCATAGCAGCATCAAGAAAACTGACTTCAGTGTCAGATTTGGATTCGTCTAAGCTGACTTTATCTTCATCGCTTGTTACTTGTGTTGTTATTGATTTTTTGAAAAGACTTCTCATACAGCACTTCTTGAACTGCCATATGAATTCCATGGATGTAAAAGGGTTGATGCTCAGTTGAAACTAGTTTTCCAAACTTAACCATCATGGAAGCTCCATCCGTTACTGCGCAGAGAATGCTGTCACTAATGTTCAATCCAAATTCGGCCACTTTTTCTGTGACAACTGCTACAGCTTTATCAGCTGGCAGTGATCCAGAAATTCGAGTCAAGCCCAGATTCCAGTATGTGTGTTTTTAATGAATATTAATATTCATGTACTTTTGATTTTTCAAAGAAGTGTACTCATCCAGTGTGATTGAAAAGCGTTTTCGATTGGTCACTAAAGATTTAAAAGTGTTTTTAAGGTCATTTCTTACTTTTCTCACTGCTAACTTTTTAACTGATTGGATTCCTTGCTTGTGATTTCTTGGAAAATCATAACCTTTTTTACACATGGCAGATAGAATAAAAGAGCTGTTAACAATGGCGTGGAAACTAAATCCATCCAGTGCTGTAAGTCTTGAAATCACTTCTTCAATTGGTTGCTTTGAGAAAAAAAGTTAAAATCTTAAGCTTTTTTGATTCTGTTGCAGCTTTTGTTGTCAGCTTTTCCTTTCTTATTTGATTAAGTAGCATTTTCTACAATAAGTTCTCCCTCTTTTGGCAAAACTTTTTGGCTTATTTTATTTTTTAGACTAACAGCTTTCATATAAAATAGCTAAAAGTTTAATTTACAGTTAAAATAGGCAAATATTTAATAAAGTTGTATGCATGTAACGCAAGTTAAAAATGGAATAGCCCATATATATATATATATATATATATATATATATATATATATATATATATATATATATATATATATATATATATATATATATATATATATATATATATATATATATATATATATATATATATATATATATATATATATATATATATATACACCTACTAAAGCGTGTTTTGATAAGCATTTGCTCACTTTTTCTGCTTACCTTAAGCTATATTGTTTTTTTCGAAAAAGAAGAAGAAAAAACAAAAAATGATGAATAAAATGATTTCTTCTCCATCCAAACCCTCAGTCGATGTAGCAGCACTCCAATGCGAGTCAGGCTATTTGTCAGTCGATGTATGTACTGAAGCCCCCAGCAGCAAGCTATTTCAGTATGACATCAGATTGCTTACCTTAGTACGCAATACTATTTGTGTATATATATATATATATATATATATATACATATATATATATATATATATATATATATATATATATATATATATATATATATATATATATATATATATATATATATATGATTTTAAATGTTGACATCTTGTACGAGAGTAAATATATATATATAAACTAATTTAAAACATCAGATAATACGAATTCTCTCAATACTAAACAATTTATCTAAAATTTTTTCCGGATTATAGGCACCGGCATCATCAGCACATAATATAATATAATTACAAAAACTGTGACCATTAAATAACAACAAAAAAATTTTTTTTAAAATTACCATGCAACAGCACCCCAGAAACCTATTTAATTAAGTGCAAGTGCTCCAAAGTATATGTTGGTGAAACAAAACTTCAAATACGAACAAGGGTTCAACAACACCAAAAATTTTTGACTGAAGGCAAGTTAAACCAGTCTGCATTAGCTTTGTATAAAGTAAATTTTAATGAGGACATTGAATGGAATAAAGTAATAACACTTAAAGTTGAGGATAAAAAATTTGAAAGAAAAGTCTGTCAGGCCTTAGAGATACAAAAACATCAATGTTCTCCAACATACGGTGGTATGAATTTGGACAATGGACAATATTTAAAAACAAATTTTTGGACTTCATTTTTTTCATACTTAGGTAAAAGAAGCCATTATAAACGGTCACAGTTTTTGTAATTATATTATATTATATGCTGATGATGCCTATAACCCAGCAAAAATTTCAAATAAATTTTAAATTAGTTTATATATATATATATATATATATATATATATATATATATATATATATATATATATATATATTATATATATATATACATATTTATAATACATATATATAATAATATATAATATATATGTGTATATATATATATATATATATATATATATATATATATACACACACACGCACATATATATATATATATATATATATATATATATATATATATATATATATATATATATATATATATAAACTTGACTAAGTTAAATAAAGTTTGACTTACGAACTACTAAAGAGCATTTTTTCAGTGAGACCAGTTACACATGCTGCAATAGCCAAAGCAAAGATAACTATTCCAAAATATACATGTGATTTTAAATATATTTGGCGATAATCATCAGAAAATTTTGGATAGAGAAAGCCAACAAAACCAAACAAAAGCTGAAATGTCAATAGAATAATTTAATTTTCAAAACTTTCTTTTAAAATAATTTTAAAACACAAAAAACAAGTTGGATTGATAAAAAATTTTAAAATGTCAAAAAGTTAAACATTTTTTTTTAATGTCAGAAAGTTAAAGAATTTTCTTTTAATGTCAAAATTTTCAAGACTTTAAAATAAAAAGACTTCACTAAAATATTTAATATAAGAATGCTTTAAATCAACTTTATTTATACATATTTTTATATTAGTATTTAATATATATATATTTTTTTTTTAATTGGCCACATTTACAAAAAAATTAAATCAAGAATAACTCTAATACATAAGTTGCTTTATAACCCCCTTCTCACCCTTATAAAAAAAGTTGCATTAAATTTATCACAAATAATAAAACCAAACAAAAGGCTTGACCAAAAATAAGCAATCTTTTATCTAACATTAAAAATTAAATTTCCCAATGCAACAATTTAATATTAAAAAACAAATATAAAAAAGATTAAGATTTTTTGTAAGTATCAGAATAAAAAAATAAACATTTTACCTGACATGCAAATAAGCTTACTGAAGCAATTCCAATCCAACTATGCATGCTATACATGTTAGGTATTTTTGCTGCATTGTGATAATCAAATACAGCGACTAAACCTATCACAGCACATATAAAGACAATCAGTTGAGTGCAACCATGAAGAACTTTAATCTTTAACTTGTTTTGATTTCGAAAAAATCTGTATGCAATTGCAGCTTTAAGAAGTAAACAAATTATTTTGTTTTTGCGTAACTATGATAGTTTACATATACACTTACTTTATTTATACAATTATACAATTATTATTTATATAATTATTTATACAATTTATACAATTATTTATTTTATACTACTTTTATTTTCTTAATTTTAAAACCTAAAAAAAAACAAAAAATATAAAAAAAAATAAAAATATACAAATTATATTAAATCAATTTCATTCTAAATTAAAGTTTTTTTTGTTGAAAAAGATAATTTTTTTAAATTATTAATTCAAGGGCTTGTTTTTGAGTTTTATTTTTTAATATTAAATTGTCTATAGCGTTATGTAATATTTAATAGTCATGTTTTTTTACCCCATATTTTTTAATCAAAATGGTTTCAACTTCAAACAAGTATAGATATTTATTTTTTAATTAATAAAAATACAAAAATAGCTAAATGTAAAACTACAGATGAACAATGAAACTATTCCATGGAAAAAAAAAGATGTAGAATGTCTACAACATAAAAGGCATTTAAAAAGGTCACAAAAAACTTAGAAAACAAAACAGTCAATTTTTGAATCTTTTGCTATCACTAATAGTTAATATAGTTAATAATCATGGTGTAGTGCGCTCTACAACGCCCAACTTTTGGAAAAAGTACAGTATGTTGCAAAGAAGCTAAGAAGTTAGCCTACAATAGGCTTAGCAAAGAAACAATACAAGGTAATTTTTGTAATGTACATGCTGGGGTTCTATATTTTGTATGTTTGAGAAATTGCATCTACTTTGTAAGCATGCTGCTGCAGTTGATGGGATATTTTTCTACAAAATATGGGTTGATTTGCCTTAGTGATGTCTTGAAAAAGCCATGCAATGTGGTAGTTATTTTAGGAAATCAACATCACCCAGGAAAAATCTAAAAATATAATTGAAACTAAAAGCTGAAAAAGCTAAAACCTAATTGACATTAAAAAAAATATGATTAAAAAAATATTAAGAAACACAGCTGAAACATCTAAAGCACTTTTTCTAATTTCAAGTGAATATATTTCTATAGGAGGAGATAAAGATTTTGAAAAAGAGCTTGATAAAGGTAGTGTAGAAATAAATCAGATGAATGAATCAGAGCCAATAAATTTATAAATAGTGCTAAAAGAACTACAATTAAGCATCAAGTTAAAATAAATGCATAAAGAGAATGGATAAAGGATTGAGTTTCATCCAAACTTAAAACAATTTTGAATGCGTTTTTCTAAATTCAGCACAGAAAAAAAAAGTCAACAAATTCAGTTAATATCAACTTTATGACAAAAATTATGTATGACCTACCTCAGCTCAGTTCAATACCATTTCTCATAACAGGTTTGGTGTGGGACCTCGTGAATTTGAGGTATTCACCAATTTCTTTAATTCTCTAAAGTTATTTTTCTGGTTCTCAAGATTGGATATCCCAATATCCAATCTTGAGAAATTTCTTTTGACCCCTGGATATGCCTATCAACTGTTAAACTTTAGCATTGTTTGCCTGAGAAGTGATTAGATACAAATAACTTATGTCAATGTTCTGAGTATAAAATTTGTACAAATGTGATATAAAATTGCATTTAGTTAGTTTTTATTTATAAGATAAATTTCCAAAAAAACAAAAAAATGATATAATAAAGCCATTATAAATGAAATTGTTAAATTAGTAAAATAAAAAATCAATTAACAGTGGAAAGTGATTTAGTTAAAGTGTAAATATCTACTTACAACATTTATTTCTTGATCCTATTTTGTTGTATCAAAAATAACTTCTAAGCTAAGATTAGCTGAGATAATCTGAATCTCATTTATCATTAATTCTTTTAGGTACATCTAGGTACTCAGGTAAAGATTAAAATAGGATCTTCTAAATAACCCTTATTTAACTTAAATTGAAGAAATTGGTTTATATAGGTATTTAGAAAAAAAAAATTATAAAAACTAACTTAGAGTATACATTGTATGGATGAACACAAAACAGAACAACACATAAAAAGAGTATACATTAGAATATTTTTTTTTTTTTTTTTTTTTTTTTTAACATCTTCACTTCCAACAAGGCTGCAAGCAACCACTATAAGAGTTGGAAGTTACTGGAAGAGAAAAGACTAAATCTGTAGAGCAAGATAACTTTAGAATATACATTGTGTATATTAGAATATACATTAGAATATACATTGTGTACATATATAGTATACATTAGAGTATACATTAGGGTATACATTGTGTGGCAACCAGAAAACAGAACAACACACACAAAAAATAATAATAATATATATATCTGCTATAGCATATTAATATGCGCAATTGCTCACTTTTTTGGCTAATCTAAATTAAGTGAGCGTTTTGAGAAAACGATGAGGGAAAACGAAGAATAATGAATGAAAAGGTTGCTGACCCATACCAAACCCTCAGTCGATGTAGCAGCACTCCACTGCAAGTCAGGCTATTTGTCAGTCGATGTATGTACTGAAGCCCCCACAGCAGGCTATTTCAGTATGATGTCATCATGCTCACCTAACTCAGCAGTATAAGATATAATAACAATAATAATAATAATAATAATAATAATAATAATAGCAATAATAATAATAATAATAATAATAAACAAATATTATAATGCATTTTCAACAAAATATAAAATGTGGTTTTAAAGATATTTAAACTGATATTATGTATTTTTAACAATTATTTCAAATCTTTTAAATTTCAAAACACTTTTTGTTCTTTTGAATCAATTTTTATTTTTTTTAAGTATTTTATAAACTTTTTTTAAAAAAGTTTTTTCACATATATTTTTATGATCAAAAAAGTTAATCATAAAATAGTTAGGCATAGAAGTTTAAAAATTTCCTCAGCAGCATATGATTACATTACTACGAATCCTGGTAGAAAAAATATTGAGGAAACAATTTTTTCAGGCATGTTGCAAAAAGCTTGCAAAACTAATCCTGCAATTTCTTTCTAATACTTGTTAGATAGGCATTTAAATCCCATTTAAGAAATCATGCAACAGTAACTTGTTTTAGGAAATTCTTGGATTTTTATCAGGGTTTATTATTTCTTTATCGTTATTATTATTTTTTTAAATTAATAATAACGATAAAGAAATAATAAAGAAAACATGAAGATCTCCTATCTTCATGTTTTCCTGACTTATATAACCTACAACTTTTCAAGGCATTTGTCAACCATTTCTTTGTTCTTTAACTCTATTCTTTTTTTTCTAGTAACTTCAAACTTAATAGTGGTTGCTAACCGCCTCACAGTTGGGAGTGAATTGGAATTAAAAAAATATATAACATAAATTTATATTTTTGTTTTAGCTTTGATAACATTAGGAATGTTATAAAAAATATTAATTTTAAAGAATAACAATATTTGTTTTTGACATTCTCACCAGTATTTGATTTTGACAGCAAAATCAAAAATTTTTTTTTTTTTTTTTTCAATTATCTTCGCTTCCAACAAGGTTGCAAGCAACCACTAATTAGTGTTAGAAGTTACTGGAAGAGAAAAGATGAAGATTATAGAGCAAGATAACGATTGACAGACGACTTAAAATATTGCAAATTATATGAATCAGGAAAGCAAGATGAAGGAAGCGAATTCCAAAGAACTGATGTTCGAGGAAAAAAACTAGACGAATAAGAGTTTTTGGAGCACTTAGGAACAGTAACAGAAAAAGGATGAGACTTAATTGAATGACGAGTAACATGAGAATGAATTTTAGTAGATGGCACAAGAGACGCTAGCTCTTTCGAGCAGTGCCCATTATAGTATTTGTAGAAAAGAGAAAGAGAAGCAACATTACGACGATGTGACAGAGGTTGAAGGTTGGCTGCAAGAGCAGGTCTAACTATGTTTACAATGCGTTTTTGCACCTTGTCTAAAAGAGAAAGGGTATCATTAGAAGATCCGCCCCAGATATGGCAACAGTATTCCATACAAGGCCGGATTTGAGATTTATAGAGATAGAGAATAGAATCCAGAGTAAGAAAGTGACGAGCTTGATAAAGAGAAGCAACTTTAGCAGATGCTAATTTTGCAACGGATTTGATATAAGGTTTCCAAGAAAGACCAGAAGTAAGAGTTAATCCTAGAAGATGAAGGGTAGGAGACTCATCGAGTACATTACCGTTCATAAATATAGGAAGGTCTAAATTATGGCGATAACGATTGGCCGAAAAAAATTGAGTTTTATCTGAATTAAAGTTCACCAGCCACTGCGAGCCCCATGCTGTAGCAGAAGTGAGATCCTTTTCAAGCTCAGATGCCCCCTGCAAGCAATCAGAGGGAGTTGGCTTCTTATCGTGACAAGAATAAATGGTAGTATCATCAGCGAACAATGCCACCTTAGATGTGAGAATATCTGGAAGATCGTTAATGTAAATCAAAAAGAGTATAGGGCCAAGGATTGAACCTTGGGGAACCCCTGAGGTTACAGAATAAGAAGAAGAGTGCTGTCCATCAAGGACAACTTTTATACTACGATTGGAAAGAAAGGATTCAATAATCTTAAAGATGTTTCCAGATACACGGTAAGAAGAAAGCTTATGGAGGAGACCAGCATGCCAAACTTTATCAAACGCTTTAGAAATGTCAAGAGCAATGGCTTTAACCTCTCCACCTTTATCTAATGCGCGATAAAACCTATCGGTTATTACTGATAGCAAAGCCGTAGAACCAGAAGATCGAAATCCATATTGATGATCAGAAAGTAGGTTATGAGATTCGAGATGAGAGATTAAGTGTTTGTTAATTAAAGATTCAAAAACCTTGCTTATGATAGGAAGAAGACTAATGGGACGGTAGTTAGATGAATCAGATCGCTCTCCAGAATCTTTAAAAATAGGGATAACAGATGCTGCTTTCCAGCAGGCTGGAAAACAAGACTCTGATAAGCACTTGTTAAATAGTTTTGAAAGGATAGACGACAGCTCCGGAGAACACTTCTGCAAGACAATAACAGGTATGTTGTCCGGGCAGCAAGCTGTAGAAGAGTCTAAGCGGGAAATCACTTTAGATACAGAAGCTGGAGTGATACGAATATCGAGCAATGGATCAACCTGTTTGACGGGTATATCAGGTAGAACGCAACTAGTGGCATCAAGAGATGATATTGATGAAAAGTTCTTAGCAAACAATTCAGCTTTGTCTTTAGGTGAGGTGACAAAGTCTGAACCATACAAAAGAGGTGGAATTACAGACTTGCCCTTATTATTGATACTATTAAAGATTCTCCAGAAGTCACGAGAGCCTAATTTTTGTGATGAAGCAGTAATAAAGCCTAGCAGTAATAAACAGACGTCTGTTTTCTGGAGAATTGTTTTGCTGATAGATATGGAAGTAATGGTTTCGATTGGCAATTGCAGCAGCACAATGTGAGGAAAACCATGGAGAAGAGTGAGGCTTGACCTGGAATCGTCGAGAGGGAATAAAGGATGCTTCGTGGATTCATGCCAGCCTGAATCCACGAAGTTATGTATTAAGCATATTTGTCAACAGGGAGACGAAAGATTTCTACCCAGGGGCCATCACAAAGAAAGTCACGAAAAGAGTCCCAGTCAGCTTTAAGGTAGTTGTAAGATGTACGATGATAGGGGGATTCTAATGGTAAAGAAGAATGAGATAATAGTTTTAGAGAGACCAAACCATGATCAGATGCACCTAAGGGTGAGTGTGAAGAAACTGAACACTGACTAGGATCAGAAGAAGACGAAGGGGTGCGAGGCTGGTCAACAGATAGAATCTGTTTACCCCTTAAGTCTTTGTCTAGGAGGCCTTCTACAAGACAGCAGCTGGATGCATGTAACATCTGCCCAAGATGAGTATTTTTATCGAGACACCATCTCTAGCCTTTCCTCAACCAAGAGCCCCAAGGCAGGGGGTGTTTTATGTCGGAGTTTGCATCTCCTAGCCTTTGCCTAAAAAGGCATATCCTAAAAAGGCAGCAGGACATGAAGTAAATTGTACTGGGTTACATGTTACCATGTAACATACGGGTTACCATACTGGTGAGTAAATAATATAAAATTTTTTTTTCATACATGTATTAAATTCAAACACAAAAAGAAGTGTTGTTATTGAATTGCTTTAGGCAATTAAAAAAGTTTTTGACAACTAAATTTCAATCTTTTAGTTGTGATAAATAATGCAACTTTCTAGTTTTTTGTATTAAATGTGAAAGATTTGCAGATAGCTATCATATCATCAACTTTGAAAAATTAAAAACTGGTTTTCAAAACTGATCTTAAAAACTGTAAAAAATGTTTTGTAGTCTGAAAAAAAGTAATAATACTAACCGTTCCCATTAAACAAAACCATCCCTGTCACCATTAACACAGGATGTAGATTAAATTCTTTTCCAGTTCCATCCCAAGCAAACCCATTAAAATAATGTATAGTCCAATACAAAACTAATATAAAACATAAAATAGCCACTAATTCAAGACATGCTAAAACTACATAAAAGATTCTTTTTCCATTTGGGTTATTGTCAATATTCTCGGCAAGTGGAGCTGATTGAACATTTCCTTTGGCACCGAAAAACTAAATATATTATGTAATATGTTAAAATGACACATTTTAAATCAGTTGTGTTTACGTCATAAAAAAAATTATTTATGAGTTAAACTTACTAAAACAAATTATTTAATGAGATAAAAAATAAATTTGTTTACAACAAATTTCTGGCTGTCTTATCAAATTAATCTGCAAAAAATTGCATAAAATCTTTAAAATATAACATATGTTCTAAAACCTTTTAACTTTTAATTTTTCAACTTTATATCAACTTATTCTGCATTTTTTAATCTATTTATTCAATCAAAAATTGAAAATGTTTTTATAATTTAACAAAATTTGGTTAGGTGTCACTCATATAGTTAAAAACTAGTCATTGGAGTGACACCTAAATAAAATAAACAAACAAACAAACAAACAAAAATTAACAGCAATAATAATAAATAAAAGCATGCGTAAATTAAATTAATTTAAAAAAATAATAATAACGATAAAGCTATAATAAGTTAAATTATAAGACAAAAAATACGAAAACACTCAATAACAACAGCAAACTAAAATAAAAATAATTAGCAAAACAGCACAAATAAAAACAAACTTAACTTAAAATAAACACAACCGAAAAAGCAAAACACAAAAACAACAAAATAAAAATAAAAACTACAAAATGAAAAGGCAAACACAAGTACACAAGAACTTCTACAAAATTAAATTAAATTAATAAAACAATCTTTTGTTATTTTTTGACGAAAAAAATCTAGAAAATTTGGTAAAATAGAAAACAGAGAACAACAATAAAAATAATTAGCAATAAACGCACAAATAATAACAAAATTTACGAAAACAAAAACAAAAAATATTCACACTACATTAAGCATTTTAATTTAATGCAACTGGAGACATTCAACAAAATGAAAATTGTAATTAAATAAAGGAAATGATTTTTCTACATTTTTAAAAAATAAGTCAAATATTGGGAATCAATATTTGATTATAATCAATAAAAATTGGGAATTGAAATAAATCAAAAATTGGGAAGTTTATTTATTTCTCACTAAATCTCAAAAAAAAAAAAGAAAGCATTTTCAGACTTTAGGTTTCATTGAGGCAACTTGTTTTTGAAATTTAATTTTTTTTTTTTTTTTTTTTTTTTTTTGAATATGAATAAAAATAGCAACTTAGTTATATTTAGCATTTTGATAACTAAACTGCTAAATTAAAACTTCTTTAAAAGATTCAAATTAAATATGTGTAAATAAATATGTGGATACAAGAAACACTACAGGTTATAACAGTATCAGCATAGGTAAGTAACCATTTTAACCTCAAAGTTATTCTTGACACCTTTTAATAAAGCACTCCATAATGTGGAAAAATAAGAAGAAACTTAAAGTTAAAAAAATGTTACTTTTTTCTGTTGGTATTATAAAAATATAGCTTTAGAAATACGCGAAAAAAGTATTTTGAGAAACTAAGTAATGGATTTTTTTAAAATTAAAAATACTAAGTAAATTGTACAATTAAATTAGACAATTGTACAAGTAAATTAAAAATAATTTCTTTAAATAATTATTTTAGTTCAAGAAACATTTTTAAAAATAAGTCTATATATATTTTAGATTAAATAAAAAATAACTACTATAAACTTTTCATTTATAACATGTATACATAATCATTAAAGATTAACTACAAAAAGAAGAAAAACAAATTTGAAAATTAAGGTTATAACTCATAAGTTATTTAAAAAATACTTTTTTGTATTGACATAAATTATTTGTATTAACTAAAAAAAGTATATTATTCAGATTTGAAAAAAAATCACCAAAGAGCAAACAACTTTCTATCAGAAAAAATCAAAATAAAAAATTCTAATTTTTTTTTTTAATGAATAGTTTGAATTTGAAAATTTAATCAACTCTAAAATTATTTTAAGAAAATTAACTTGGAAAAATATTTTTTTAATAAGTTAAATCCAAAGTTTAATTAAGCTATGAAGATAACTTGTCTTATTTAAGATATACAAACACTTTTTCTTACAAAAATCCCTTTTAAGAAAAAAGTAAAAAATTTAATAAAAACTTAAGAAAAATAAATATTTAAAAATGCATTATCATTCTTAAAATATCTAATATATCTCTTAATAACTTACACCAGACAAACTAAATATAAATTTTCACATTATTTACATATTTTATACTCACTTTTAATTATGTCTTTATAAAAGGGAATAATGTACAACCAACCAAATAAACAAACTTATTTTTATATTGACAACATAATTAAAGTGACACTAGATGTCATTTATAAGTTTTGATTTTTAATGCGCAATTAATGGTTGAGAAAACTAATCATTGCGCATTGATGTGTTAAGTCTATTCTTTATCAGTTTTAATTTTATTAATAAACACTCTGTGCTCCACACAGTGGGCATCAAAAATCAATGTTACCAAAATAAATTTAAGCTAGATTTTAATGAAAGCTAAACAAATTTCCAGTTTATTAAAAAATATATACATATAAAGTATGTTCAAAAACCATGCTAGTTAATACTAGTTAGAATAAAATTAATGACAAAGTTGTTAAAGAGCAAAAAAATTGACAGAATTTTGAGTGAAAAAAGAAATTTGAAATAGTTAAAAAAATTTTGGAGAAATTGTTTGCAGAATCTAAAAATTTACTGTTGCAGTTTGAAATAATCTTTTAAAATATAACCTTATTGTCAAAATATATTTCAAAGCACACCAAATGACTTTGAATGCATCCTCAGTAACACCAGAGCATTCGTCATCTATCAGAACAATTAAGCTTTGTTCATCTGTGTTCATCTAAAGTAACAAAGTCACGTTCAAGAAAAGCCAAAATTGTTTTAAGAGACAATAGTACTTCTTATTATGAACCAGAATCAGGGAGACGAGAATCAGAGAGGAACGGAGACTTATATTCCTATAACAGACCTAGCTGAAATGAATTTAAAATCAAGGTTTGAGTCAAATGAGGCGCTTTTCAAAGACATGACTTCCTTAGACCCCAAGAACTCCAAAGAGAATCTCAGCTCAGTAAGTTTACAAACTTTAAACATTGATGAAATTGGTTCTTTAGTATATTTATTGTGTAATAAACAAAATGAAGGCAACACAACAGAGAAAATAGTTCCAGATTTTTCAGTCACTCTGACATGTACTCACACATAGATTTGAAAACAAGATGTAAAACCCAGCTCAGATTCAAAAATTGCATCCACTGTGTTTTTACGCTTATGAACAGGTTTAATTTGTATACATTAGCATATGGTTTTTTAATTTTAGTATTAAAGTTTAATTGATCTATAAGTTGTACCCAGATTGCATGTGATCGTACTTTCTCTTTTTGAAACTTATTAAAACTAATACCAGGAGGACTATGTCTAATGAAAACTGGAAGGCATACATGTCGATGGAATGCGAGATATTTTGAATAGTCTTGAAAATAAATCATTTATTATGGAAATTATCTTTTTATTAACAAGTGTGCATCAGATATTAGTTATGATCTTTTTTCTGAAAAACTCTTTCAATAAGGTTCCAATAGAAACAGCTGTCAATTTATAAACTGTGTTCTTGTCTGTGCTCTTGGAAGTTTATACCTATTTTTGTTATAACCAATAAAAAAGCAAATTTTATGAAATTTTAAATATTTTGTTCTTATAAATAACTTTTTAGTGTATTCAAAATTTACACACAAAAACCTTGTGTTTAAAATTCTGGCATGGTGACCTCATTTAGTCAACCACTGTGGGGTTCATTTTGACAGGTCATATGGCTTTTTTTTAAATGAATATTTAAAAAATTATAGATAATTAAGTGAATCAAAAATTTATGAACTCAAAAAATGTTATAGTAATATGGTTCTTCAGTAATTTTTTTCTTCATAAATATTCATTTTGTTAATAAAAACATGTTATTATATACATAAAATGTGCAAATTACACTGTACAACAAATTTTTAGTTTTAAAAAAAAAATCATGAAAGACTTTTTTTTATCTTTTAATTTTTTTTAAAGAAATGCCACGGGGTAAAAAAAACTTCAAAAATAGCTTTTATGCGACTCCTAAAATAAATTATAATATTAGTAAGAAAGTAATTTATCTGAACAATTTCAAAGATACTTTAGTAATAGTTTTTAAAGACTTTCACTAATACTTTTCAAAGATTCTTCAGTAATACTTCTATTATTCTATGTATACACATTTTATGGCTCATGTAACTGCTCATTTACACATTGCTTATTGTTCTACTTCTTTCAGACAGTATAGCAAATCTATGGTAATTTATTATTATTTCATCATTATTGTTTGCACATTATTATGGCTGCTTGAGGCTGCATGACTCCCTTTCATAATACTTATGATATGGCTAGAGTACCATGACCATGTATCTGACTGCTTCTTCTGTGCCTTCTCGAGCAAAGAAATCAACAAGAAAAACAAGAAAAATCTTTGTTATTCCAGCATGTTATCAACTATTTAATTCCACATTCCCCTCAGTTACCTTTGGAAGTTTTGTGAGGTCTGATATAAGACAGTTTTTAGATAATAATTAGTTTGAATAGTTCATGGATGATCTTGAATTGACAGCTTTGAAAGCTTATTTCAAACTATAAGCAAAAAATTGACAACTATCATTCTTTCAGCTACATGTATCTAGTTTAACAACTGCTCCACTCATATAAAGCTCTGGATTGTATAAAATCCCTGAAACTCTATTTTCTAATGTCACACATAGACTTTTTCCCTGACAATATTGGCAGTGTAAGTGATGAGAACGGAGAGAGATTCCACCTAGACATTGCTATAATAAAATAATGCTACGATTAAAAATGTTTACCTGTAATGCTAGAAGACATTTGGTGGATGTTACAATGCAATATTATTGACGCGCCATACAAGCAAAAATCTTTTTTATAAACTATATTACTCTTGCGTACCTAATAAAAGGAGGGGAGAGAAACATTTTAATTTTTGGAAAATTTTCCCACCCACCCCAAGCTT